AACCAACACAACGGCCTTTATGCCGTGTAGGAATATTATGGAAGGTGTGGTAATTCTCCACGAAACCATCCATGAATTACACTCTAAGAAAAGAAACGGAGTCATTTTCAAAATTGACTTTGAAAAGCATATGACAAGGTCAAGTGGTCGTTCTTACAACAGACTTTATGTATGAAAGGTTTCTCACCTAAATGGTGTAGGTGGGTTCGAGAATATGGTCTCTGGAGGAAGTGTGGGGATTAAAGTTAATGATGACATTGGCCCATACTTCCAAACCAGAAGGGACTCGCGCAGGTGATCCTATGTCACCTATCTTATTTAACATCGTCGCCGATATGCTAGCTATTCTTATTAATAGAGCAAAAGCGGATGGGCGAGATAAGTGGAATTATCCCCACCGGTTGATGATGGTTTATCAATCCTACAATATGCAGATGACACCATCATGTTTCTCGACCACGATCAAGAACAAGTTTAAAAATCTCAAACTTTTACTATGCGCCTTTGAACAATTATCTGGGCTCAAAATTAATTTCCACAAGAGTGAGATTTTTTGCTTTGGGGCAGCCAAAGAAATGGAATCCTTCTACACCGATCTCTTTGTCATGTAAAAAAGGGGAATACCCCTTGAGATATCTAGGCATCCCTATGCACCACCGCAACTCCTTAATTCTCGAATGGAGAAAAGTTGAAGAGCGATTCAACAAAAGCTCTCATTTGGAAAGCGAAATACTTATCCTATGGGGGACGTCTAGTACTGCTTAATTCTGTATTAAGCAGCCTACCCATGTTTATGATGTCTTTCTTTGAGATCCCAAAAGGAGTTATCAAAAAACTCGATCATTTTAGGTCGAGGTTCTTCTGGCAAGGATCCTCAGAGAAACATAAATACCGCCTTGCCAAATGGGATATCATTTGTCGTCCCAAGGATCAAGGTGGACTAGGTATTCTGAATTTACAACTGCAAAATAAATGCCTACTAGCAAAATGGCTAGTGAATCTCATGAACACAGAAGGCATATGGCAAACGCTATTACAGAATAAATACCTAAATTCAAAAAGTTTATCCCAGGTCACGGCAAAGCCAAATGATTCACATTTTTGGAGAGGCCTCATGCATATCAAGGATGAGGTGCTGGCAAAAGGTTCTTTCGATATTAAGGATGGAACCACGGCTAGATTTTGGGATGATGTATGGGTAGGTGCTAGGCCTCCTGAAAGTTCGTTATCCATCTTTATATAATATTGTGAGAGATCCTCACGCCACAGTCTCAAAGATAATGAGCACTAGCCCTCTGAATATTTCTTTTAGGAGGGCTCGGTGGGTAATAAACTTCTGTAATGGCTTAGTCTAGTAGCAAGTATTTCTCATGTCGAACTAATAAATGGATCTCGATCATTTTAGATGGAGTTTAACCAGCTCAGTTCATTCTCATCAGATCCATGTATCTCAACCTTATAGATACAAATACATCGTTTTTCGGCATAGGAAGATTTGGAAGATAAAAGTTCCTCTAAAAATAAAAATTTTCCTCTGGTTCCTACAAAGAGGTGTCATTCTTACCAAAGATAACCTGTCTAGGAAAATTGGAAAAGGAGTCGAATTGCGTTTGTTGCAATGGGAATGAAACTATTCAACACTTATTCCTGGACTGCCCTATTGCCATAATGATTTGGAGGATTATCTTCTTTGCTACTAGTTTAACTCAACCTAGATCAATCAGCCACATGTTTGGTAACCGGCTGTCTAATCAAAATAAAAGGATTAGAAATTTGATTTGGGTGGGAGTGGCTGCTATGTGTTGGGCTATTTGGAGATGCCGTAATGATGTTGTTTTTAATAAAATAAAATCTAACTCTATTATGCAGGTCATTTTCGTGGGAGCGCATGGTTACGCTTTCTGGGCCCAAATTGTGTGTAGAGCAAGCTAAGGACGCGCTCTCGACAATAAGCAAGAAATTAGAAGTTATTGCTCTAGAGATATCCAATAACGGATGGAAACAATTTTATTGTTTAAGTTAGCGTCTTGGTCATGTTATAAGACCTTGGCTTTCTTTTTGGTTTTATCATTATCTGTAATTTTGGGCTGTGTACATCTACGGATGTAGAGGCCGGATGTTTATCCATTATCTAAAAAAAATGGTGCAGCAGCACTGCCGCCGCGGATCGGGGCCGGGACCGTCGCATGTTGCCCTGAAATTATCACTGCCCTCGGCGCTGGCCTTGGCTTTGCATGATGCTTCGCAGACATCCGTGTGGAAGAAGCACAAATAATCCACGTGCGTGCACTCCGTTTTACCAATCTCTGCATACACACATGCAATGCAAATCACAACTCCGTCTCTTTTTATTATAACTAGTCAATTAAATTGTTGCAGGCACCAGCACTGCAGCAGAGATATTTGCACGATTGCTCGTACCTGCATAGGTGGACGTGAGGAGAGTGGGCACGACCAGGAGAGCAACCAACACCACAGCAGCCATCCAGTGCGCCCGGCTGCTTCTTGTGTTCCTGAATGCCATAGCTATAGTAGCTAGTAGTAGGACTGAGTGCTGCCCGATATGCATGCGGGCTGGTGCTCATATATATAGCTACGTAGGTGCAGCTAGGACCAAATCGTCAGTGCAGTTCATTACATCTGATGCATTCTTATTATTGATGTGTTGATATCTCAGTGCCAAATTTAGATATCCTGCATATTATATTATTGCTGCTTTGTTTTGCTGTCTCGATCTATATCCTGTGCTAAATCAAATCATAATTATGAAAATATCCACTTTGTATACTGCAACATCATCTACTGTCTATCTATCTATCCATCTGTCTGTCTGCCTGCCTGTCTAACTACCTACCTATCTATCTATCTATCTATCTATCTATCAACATCATCTACTATCTATCTATCTATCCATCTGTCTGTCTGCCTGCCTGTCTAACTACCTATCTATCTATCTATGTTCTACACCTATATTGATTACACTATAAAATGATGTTTGATGTCACTATCCCTGAAAACTTGATGTTTTCGCTATTGGACCATAGGTTGGGCCCATATCCGCTTGAGGTTACCTATCTATCTATCTATCTATCTATCTATATATCTATCTATCTATGTTCTACGCCTATATTGATTACACTGTAAAATGATGTTTGATGTCTCTATCCTCGAAAACTTGATGTTTTCGCTCTTGGACCATATATAGGTTGGGCACATATCAGCTTGAGGTTGCAGCATGCGTGTCTCCATGCATTTCTTTTACTAAATGGATTAATTATTCATTAATTAGGATGGATCAATTTCAATAAAAAAGGATAAATGGATAATTTTCATTGAGCAAAAATTTCTTTCAAACATCCTAAAACATCAAGTACTTCGGGATGGAGGGAGTATATTTTGGGATGAAGGTAGTACTAACAGTATTAGCCAGCCTCTCACTACCACAAAAGTAATTTTAGGAGACAAATCTCGAGACTGCCTCTAGGGAAATGCCCGCATCAAAAATCAGTTACAAAGGAAGACGTCCTAAGACGACTACCTCTGGAAATTATTGGTTAATTTAGGTGGGCCATATCATCGTGCCCGCAAAATTGATATTGACAAAGGTGGCCATCCCGTAGAACTGATATTAACAAAGGCGGTCATTCTAAGCGTTTATCTCCAAAAATCAATTTGTAGAGGCGGATGCCCATCACTATAAATAATTGCATCTAGAAATAATTCATAACTTTCACATATGAGCCGGATGAAGACAAACTTTATATCAAATTTGGAGATCTCACCATGATCTACAGCTTTATAGCTGAGAACATTTTGATTTGAAACCATTTAGTCCCAAAAATTGTTTTAATTTCATAGATTTTGAAATTTAAAATTTTCAAATAACCTCGGATGTTGACATGGACTATACGAAAGTTGTAGTTCTCAATAAAACCTACAACTTTGTATCCGAAAAGTTTTTGATTCGATGTCATTTAGAGTCCCAAATATATGTGTTTTATGTTCAAAGATTTTGAAATTCAAAATTTCTAAACCATCTTGAATATTCATATAGTTAATACCAAACTTGTAGCGGCTGACCTCATCTACATGTCATCCCAAAGTTTGCAGGGTTGCCAGGTACGTAAAGGATTGCAAATGACCATATCATCCATTTCCTCTCCACCTCCTAACCGCCCTCGACCACCTTTGGCGCGCTCCTCGTCATCGTCGTTGGGGTAAGGGTCTCAGGAGCTAAGGGGCATGAACTAGTGGATATGCGCCTGGTGACAACTGACAGCTCTATCTCTTCAATGCGTTCTGTCTCTCTCCCCACATCCTCTTCTCCTCAAGAAGCGGCATGGAGATAATGTGCGGCGCGACATCGATAAGTGCAAGCGCGATAGATCTGGGCGAATAGTGGTGAGCTGAGGACAACATGGTCATGGGTGCGGCGCATCGACGGCGCTGGAAACTACCGTTCCATCGCACCATTGGTGCTGCAGCCTTCGTTAGTTGGGCACTATGCTCGCCCTCGTCTAGGTTGTACACTACGTAGAAAATCCTTTCTAGGGGCGGCTGGTAATGCTCTGTAGGGGCGGTTTTTCCAGCCGCCCCTATGAAAGGGTGGCTACAAATCGTTGATTTATAGGGGTGGTTCCCAGACCGCCCCTAGAAATCGATTTGTAGGGGCGGTTGGTACTGTAGCCGCTCCTACAAATCGATTTATAGGGGCGGTTTGTGAACACCAGCCGGCCCTACAAATCGATTTGTAGGGGCGGCTACAGTACCAACCGCCCCTACAAATTATTTTTTCGCAAAAAAAATTAAATTTACAATTCAAATTCGACCATAACATTAAACGACGTAAGAATTTAAACATTGGTACAAGAGGAGAGGGGTGAGATCAACAGGCAGCAACTTGCATGCTTTCAGTTTACAGGCAGGAGGAAGAGGAATGGTAGGTAAGTTGAAGAATTCTAATGATATACTTATCAACCAAAGAATCTCAGCTCAAGTCTTCACAGTTGCGGGTTCTCAAACAATTGTTGTACTCCACTGTCATCATTGTAGAAGGAATAGTCCTGGCACACAAAAGATGATCAGTTAGTGGTTTATACTTTATATAGGAGCATCAACAGTTAATCCACTCCAGCTTTCAAGGCACTAATGGCCAACAGGAACAAATCCTCATCAGCCTAAAACAGTTCTGATAACATCATACCACTAAATGAACTAGCATTACACATGGAATTCAACTGGTAGTTAAAATGCACATGTGGCTGCTATATAACGCGGTAAGTTTAATACATGAATGGACAGACAGATCATAAATCCATTCAAAAGAAATATCAACAAAAAAAAAGTGGTAGTTGATGAGCAGGGGTGGATAGATGATGCATCATCACATTAACAGTTTATAAAAACAGAACTGTAAAAGGTGTATATACGAAAGCGTGTTGCCTTCCAGATTCCAGAATACTTAGCCTAGCAGAAACAAAACAGCAGGCACACTAATCCAACACAGCTATCTCTAGGTGGTACACAGTGAACAAGACACAAAAGCAACAACAGGCACACGCAGGTATATCTAAACAAAGAAACAAAAGCTGAAGACAGAAGAAATAGGGTTTCCCTCTTCTTAACCGAAGTATTGAACATAATAATACTAAAAGGAAAGGCATAATTTTTGCGAGGGTAATTTAAAAATATGTTAAACTTACTTTTGCATCGCGCACTGCTCTCAATTCTTGCAACGATTCATACGCCTTGTCCTTTCTGGCAGTTGCTGCATCTAAATCTTCTTGAAGCGATGCAATCTCAGCATCAACAAGTTTTAACTCATCCTCCAGGACCTTAATCTTAGATCTTACTGCCTGTCTTTCCTTCTTTATTCCATCAATGCCCTCCCCGATGATCTGAATGTTCAGACTGCGGTTACCACTTATTTCTCTAAGAAATATATGCAGAAACAAAAAGATGAATTGCAGTAGAACACACTTACTTTCACCAGACGCTTCTCCTCAGATAAAGGTATGCTCTCATGTACCATTCGATCATTCAGCATCTTGATCTAGGGGGAGCAATGGAAGAATAGCATATAGTTAACTGTTTCTAGAATGGAAGCTATGTTAGCAAAAAGGTTCAGGACATACCGTTAGGTCAAGCTCTTCGATAGAAGAGCATAAACCTGCACTCTGTGCCCTCATGGCATTGTTTTCATCACGAAACTTGCCCAAGCTGTTCCGAAGAGGCTCCATCTCCTTTATCTTCTCATTCACAACTTCATTATATTGTTTGTTCTCAGCACTCAATGGCTTCAGCTCTGCAATGTTACATGAGACAAGTGATAAAGACACTTTTAAACAAGTCACTAAGCATACATAGACTCAGTAGCCATCTTCGGTTTATGCAAATATACAAATTTAGCACAACTGAACCAAACGAAGCACCATAACACATAGGAAACCAGCTGACGGCAACAGAAACTACAGTTAAGAATCACATCTATAGGCAATACCATGGGGCTCAGGGTTTTATTTAGAGAACATATAGGAACTAGCACAGCGGTTTCAGCACAAAATCGTGTCATTACTACTACATCACTATCACTACAAATTATAGATCCATTATTCACAGAATGCATAGAACCCTAAGAGAAGCCATCAACAGTAAATATTGTTCTTTGCTCAAAGCAAGAAGAGCATGCATCCATAACCTATAATAAGTTATATGAATGCTTCAGTTGATTAAATTAGGCTCTCCTTCAATTGTAAAACAAAACTAGAAACTAGCAGACCTTTTTGAGTGGAATTCCTTCCTTATCAGGATCTATTACATGAATAACAATTAAAATTTCTGATGGATCAAGCGAAGGGCCATTCCGAGGTGATCCCTGCAGTAAAAAGGGATGATGTGTGATTAGTATGCAATGCTCGACTGAAATGAATCAGTAACATAAATCTAAGTATAAGTTACTTGAAAAGTTCAAGTCCTAAAAGAGGTGACAGAAACTTGTTCTTTAAGTTTCAAAAAACTTTAACAGGACAATAATACACTTGTAAGGTTCTATTTATGTCTCAGCCAAATGAACTCAAGTCTCAAGCTAGTGCTTCATTTTCAAACCACAATTAAAGAATCATCTAAAAATTGACTCAAACAAACACATATTGTCATAACAGGACAAAGACTAACCTGCAAGATTCGGGAAATGGCACTTTGAAACTTGTCTATTGGAAGATTAAATACTGGGGAACACAGGCAGAACCTGGGAGCACAAGGATAATGATTAATGAAAACTAGTAGAGAACAGACCTTTGATCCTCGGTCAAAATGGGCTCTAGTTCCGGCATTTTTTGCGCCCGGGACTAGAGATACCTTTAGTCCCGGTTGGTGGCTCCAACCGTCCCGGTTGGTGGCTCCAACCGGGACTAAAGATCCCTGCCCAACGGCTACTGCGCCAGGCAGAGGTGGCAGTGACCTTTAGTCCCGGTTGGAGCCACCAACTGGGACTAAAGGTATACTTTTAGTCCCGGTTGGTGGCTCCAACCGGGAGTAAAGGTCTACTCCCAGGCCGTGGCTACGCCCGGGGTTGGAAAGTTACCTTTAGTCCCGGTTGGAGCCACCAACCGGGACTAAAGGTCCCCCCTTTATATCCCGGCCGTCTCCTTCTTCCTCCCCGAGCCCGAGCTCAACACATTTTGAAGCTCACTGCACTAGTGTTCTTGCTTCCTCCCTCCCTCCATTGTTTCTCCATCCATTCTTCGATTCCTCCGTCGATTTCTTCGATTCCTCCGTCGATTTCTTCGATTCCTCCGTCGATTCTTCAGTTGTAAAGGTTACCAATCTCATACTCTCATTTTTCACCATTGTCTTATCTCATTTTGTTCACTATATATATATATGGTTCTTTATTGTGGTTTTTTTCATTTGTAAGCAATTTGAGCTCAAAATCACTTCAAGCTTGCATATTTACATGAAAGAAGGTTAAAGTAGCTAGTTGAACGTGCGGACCATGTTCATCTCGGCGAGCATGTTCTCTGTCGAGCAGTAACCGACGTCAAGGAGGAGTTTTGATTCTACGAGGGAGAGCGGCAACAGTCGTGGAAGACCGTGTTCCCTTCCTCGTAGAATCGGAGCTCTTCCGTGGCCAAGTACGGTGCTGTCGGTGGAGAAATGCTCACGAGATGATCACGTAAGCAAGTTCAACTAGTACGGATGGTTATTTATTCATATGTCCCGATATCGTCGCATGAGTCTCCGTCAATCACCGTACCCAAACGTAGTATATATATAAATATAAACTTAGAAAATAGTTAGAAAATTATAGAAAATCCGTACTTAGTTGAACTTGCGGACCGTGTTCATCTCGCGAGCATGTTTCTCGCCGAGCGGTAACAGACGTCAAGGAGGAGCTTTGATTCTATGAGGGAGAGCGCAACGGTCATGGAAGACCGTGTTCCCTTCCTCGTAGAATCGAGCTCTTCCTTGACCAAGTACGATGCCGTCCCGGTGGAGAAATACTCGCACGAGATGATCACGTAAGCAAGGTCAACTAGTACGGATGGTTATTTATTAAAACATGTTTTTGAGATATAGATAATTTTATAGTTTCTTAATTTTATTTGTTTATAAAATGAGAAATTTATAGTGTATTAAAAATGAGTATAGAGAGTAGATGGCAACTACTTCCGGGTCCTCGGCCTCTCATGGGTTTCCAAAGCGACTTAGGCGGACCTCCTCTCATTCCATGCGGCAAGTGTCGTGATGAGACGAAGATTGTGATGGAGTACCGAGTGAAGAAGGAGGGTCCCAACAAGGATCGTATCTTCTACAAGTGTCCGGATCGCAATGTGAGTTATTTTATCGTATTTAATGATTATGGTTAGTTTATACCTATTTTCATGATGGTTGTGATTAAAGTTCTAATTTTTGTTTTAATTTTAGTGGGATGGCAAGTGGGCGATGTTCAGGGCTTCTATTGGGAGGAAGAGTATGTTGAACTCGTGCAAAAATATCTGCACAACAACAGTGAGAATCGATGGCTAATGAGGCAAAGTGATCCAGCCGAAGAAGCCCAAAGATGTTGCACAATCGGGGATCTCGTCTGCATTTTAGTTGAGATTGGTCGCATGAAATTCTTGTGCTCTGAAATGTATTTTAGCTTTAGTTCTTTTAGTGGTAGTTGGGATTGTCTACGTTGTAGCGATGCTTTCATAAATTTGTACCTTTTGTGGTGGCACACATGTTGTATAAATAATTAATTATGATATAGGTTTTAATATGGTATTTATGTCATGTAATGCAGACGAGCCGGCATTGGATGTACATTGCTGATCGCCGCTCCCAAGAGTTCATTGACGGCGTGCATTCTTTGATACGTGCGGCCGAGGCAAACAAACACGACGGTTTCATGTGCTGCCCATGTGCCATATGTAAGAATACGGTGGAATATCCTTACTCAAGGACTCTTCATTCACACTTGTTTAAGTCGGGTTTCATGCCAAACTATATTTGTTGGACGAAGCACGGAGAAACCGGCGTTGTAATGGAAGAAGGTGAAGAAGAACAATAGGACGACAATGATATTATTCCCGATGGTGCGTGCTTCAATGATACTGCAATGGGAGAAGCTGAAGAAGAGGTAGCCACAGAAGATGAGCCTACTGATGATATTTGTCAGGTCATTCGTGACGCACAAAGAGAATGTGAAAGTGAAAAGGAGAAGATCAAGTTCGAGCGGATGCTAGAAGATCACAACAAATTGTTGTACCCAACTTGTGATGCAGGGCAGAAAAAGTTGGGAACCACACTAGAATTGCTGCAATGGAAGGCAAAGAATGGTGTATCTGACAAGGGATTTGGAGAGTTACTAAAAAATCCAAAAGAAGATGTTTCCGAAGGACAATGAATTGCCCGCCACTACCTACGAAGCAAAACAAGTTGTCTGTTGTATGGGGCTAGAAATCGAGAAGATACATGCATGTCCTAATGACTGCATCCTGTACCATGGCAAAGAGTACAAGAAATTGGATGCATGCCCGGTATGCCATGCATCACGGTATAAGATCAGGCGAGATGACCCTGGTGATGTTGAGGGCGAACGTCCGCGGAAGAAAATCCCTGCCAAGGTTATGTGGTATGCTCCTATAATACCACGCTTGAAATGTCTGTTCAGAAACAAAGAACATGCAAAATTGTTGCGATGGCACAAAGAAGACCGTAAGGTAGACAATATGTTGAGACACCTTGCTGATGGGTCCCGGTGGAGAGCAATCGACGAGAGAATTTCGGAGTTTGCAAATGACGCAAGAAACTTAAGGTTTGCTTTAAGTACAGATGGTATCAATCCTTTTGGAGAGCGTAAGCAGTAGTCATGGCACTTGGCACATTACTCTAAGTATCTACAACATTCCTCCTAGTTATGCATGAAGCGGAAGTTCATTATGATGCTCGTGCTCATCCAAGGCCGAAGCAAACTCGGCAATGACATCGATGTGTACCGAGACCACTTATTGACGAACTTCTCATTTTGTGGAATAAAGAAGGTGTACGTGTGTGGGATGAGTACAAACAGGAACACTTTGATCTGCGAGCATTGTTGTTCGTGAATACCAATGATTGGCCTCGCTCTAAGTAATCTTTCGTGACAGTCAAACAAGGGATATAATGCATGCACACACCGCTTCGGTGATATTAGAGGTGTATTCTTGAAAAAATGTCAAAAGGTCGTGTACCTTGGCCATCGTCGATTTCTTCCTGCAAATCACCCCGTAAGAAAGAAAGGCAAGCATTTTAAAGGGAAGGCAGACCACCTGACCAAGCCTCGCAACCGAACCGGTGAGGATGTACTCGATATGGTCAATGATGTGAAAGTCATCTTTGCTAAAGGACATGGAAGACAACCTGTTCCGAACGACACTAACGGCCACGCACGCATGTGGAAGAAGAAGTCCATATTTTGGGACGTACCCTATTGGCAAGACCTAGAGGTTCGTAGCTCGATCGACGTGATGCACCTAATGAAGAATCTTTGTGTGAACTTGCTAGGCTTCATGGGTGTGTATGGAAAGCCTAAGGACACATTTGAAGCACGACAGGACCTGCGTTGTTTGAGAGAAAGAGACAACCTGCATCCAGAGAAGACAGATGATGGACGCCATTACTTACGACCTGCCAGCTACACTCTAAGCAAAGAGGAGAAGGAAATCATGTTTGAATGCTTAAACAACATCAAGGTACCATCTGGATTCTCCTCGAA